GGTTGCCACGAGGTGACTAGCATGTGACAACACTGTGACAAGGTGCAGAAATGCCACCTCTTGGGTGACTTGGAGCTGGCAGCATTGTAGCAAATTGGAGAATTTAGGCCATTTGTGGCAGGACCAGAGAGCCAGCCTGGCATCCAGAGGGCAGAACCTTTAGCACTTCAGGCAGACAGAGGGGACGGGAGGGTTTGACAGGGCTCAGGAGGGTTCCCACCCTGGTGGCCGGTGCAGCCTGTATCCTTTTCTCACCCTCAGTGGTTGGGGCAGAGAGCTTGTGTGAGGACTGAGGGAACGGAAAGCCCTTTAAGTTTGGTTGGATTGGCCCTGGGTTCAGGGGTGGGAGTTCAGAACTGGCAAGTCAGACTGCTTAGGTGACTGTGATTATAGTTGGAGGAGAAATTTCAGCATGAATGCCAAGAATGGTGCCAAAGTGAGCTGCATTTCTACAGACCCCAAAGGCAAGACTGTGTCCTCCGAGTGGAAATCCCTGACAGGTAGGTTTGTTTTAGCTTCTTATGGGCTTTTTTAGCCATTGGCTTCAGTGAGTCGCTTTCTGTGCCCTCCCTCCCTCCTTACTGCTCTATAAAACCTGAGTGGTGCTACTTGCATACCTCAGAATGAATGTGAAAAATAAGCCTGCACAAACACTTTCTGGAGTTGACTGGGCTGGCTCATCAGCTAACATTCTTGTTCTCTGAACTTTAAAATATTGATGGTCACCTGACAGATATGTTTTATTCTAGGAGAAAGGTGAGCTATGTATGGATTAGTACACTAGTGAGGGCAGTGGATATTACTATGGGGACTGTCAAGTCCCCTGAAAGTCGCCAAATGGCAGTGAAAGCCGGTTTGGGGTCTCTGACCTGCAGCTCTGTGCGGCAGATAGCTGCGTATGGCTGAGTGGTTCACATCCACACCTTAGGGCATTTTAGGTCAGGCAGCAGAGAGGCAGCCTCTCGGCGATGTTGAGGTACATACAGGCTGTTTTGCCCAGGACATTGTATCTAGGCCATTCACTCTCACCATTTGAAAAGCTGAGCTGAGGATTTTGCCTTTATTCTTGCACCGTGGTATGTAGAGCATTGTGCCTCAGAGTGTGTGTGTCCAGCTTGGGGTGGGGTGGAGCATTATAATACCTGTAGCATTGAAGCAGGGACCCGGGTGGGTCACCCTCCTCCTCTCAAATGATGACTGGGTGACTTACCTGGAAGACTGGCGGGGCAGGCGACAAATGGATGTCTTGGCAGGGACTTCATTTTTAGGGTAGCAGATACATGACTAGGTCTTCTCCCTTCACTGGCTTTTCTTCTCTGAAGCCTATTGCCCTCTCATCCTGGGCCACCTAGGTCTCTCGTAAACCAAGTTGCTGTGGTATGGAAAGCATCTGTTTGTGTCAGTCTCATAGCTTAGTGGAAGGCTGAGGCCTGTCTCACAGGTTGTGTGGCTCCTGAAGGACAGATAGGAAGTGAATGGGTAGTAAACAAAACAGATCATATCAAGGTTAAAGCAAAGCTCATTTGGAAGAACTTTAAGCCTTTAATACTAAAGACCCACCTGAATTGTAAGTCTATGGTCCTGTGGCTGGGAGTTTAAAAGTAAAAGACCTGAATTACTTGCCATTACTATTTTTTATAGGTTGGTGGGTGTTTGTACTCTAGGAGAATTGCCCCCCTACTCACTCTTTCTTGAAATAAAAAGCTTGAAGTGATAGAATAGATTATTTATCAAAATTTAAAAATTGAAGCTATGGGCATAGAAGATCAGAAAGTGTATATAGTTGCGGCTTTATTAATGTGTGTGTGTGAAAATCCAAAATTTTGGTATGAAAGCAACATGGATATTTAATATATCTATAGCAGTATTAGAATTACTTGAGGATTATTATTTCTTTTTTATAGAAGCTGGTCAAAAAATGAGAAAAATAGATAATACTATTTAATTTTGTTGCAGAAAACCCAAGAGTTTTCATTTGCTTTTGTTAGGCATTTATTATAAATACTGGTCTTAATTCATGCAACTCTATTTACTTTGTAATTTTTCTCATGAAGAGTAGTTGATGATCTTAAAGTTTAGCATTTTTGAACTTGGTATGATTATATTTTTTTGAAATTGGAGAAGCAAAATTTTAATGCTAATTATGTCAGGTGTGTTCTTGGGGTACTAAGGATAATAGCAATGCTTTAAAAAGATTGTTCTCATTTAGCTACTCTGAGACATAAGGGAATTGGTTAGAGAGTATGTCTACCTCCTTTTAAATGGTGACCTTTGAGGAGAGGGCCATAAACTTCTGGAATTACATGGAAAAACCAGGACTTCAAAATAACTCAAGTCTTATCCAAAATGGAAGAGAAAACAAAGAATTTGATGCCATCATTATTTTGCTATCATGACCTACAAATAAGTAAATTAAGGAACAGAATAAATTCTTCTATGTAAAAATGAAATGTTATTAAAATTTAAAGCAGATATAAAGTAGTAAAAACAAATAGGCGTAGAATTAGGAGAGAAATAATTACTTTAAGTACCATCAGAAAATTATATGCTGCCAGTTAACTGTGACACAATGCTCTTTAACACTTTGAATTTTTAATAATTCTTAAACTTACAGATTTTTACATAAAAATTATTTTAGTTCCTCCTTTTCAGTACCCTCTCCGTATACAGTACTTTTGTTTCAATACCAATTCATAGCATAATCTTTCTGAAGACATTGTAAACATCCATCAAGTCAAGAGCAAACCAACAATGTGTAGTTTTTCCTTTGTGCACAGGTGACAAACACATGCCTCGCTGACAGGGGTGTGCTGGTTGCTGTATGCTAAATAAGAAGCCATTCTAATTTCATAGACTCTGAAGTGTGAAAAAAAAATGTCCAGGAGTCAGGGAAATATGAAGTGTGCTTGCACATATGTAGTTCTGCCAAAAGGAATCCTGCTGTGGCCTCATCGCTCTGGAGACCTTTGGGGGGAAGAAAAGGAGGGGGGAGGACTTTGTATTTGCCGGGAGCAGCCTAGCCCTTCCTGGTTTCCTCGCCCCTCACGGAAGCTCATGGCCGGTCCTGGACGACACCCTGGGCCCCGCAGCTGCTCTGCATGGCCTCTGACAGCACCCCTTCTTTACTAGCGTTCGGGCTCCCCACAAGTGCCCTGACACTGCCCTGCACCTGCCCTTTCCCCTGGTCAGACAACTTGTCATTTTCAGTTTGTTTGAAATCGGGTTGCTAAAACCTTTGTTGAGTCTTCCTTTGGGAAGTCTGCCTTCGGAGTCTGTTCTAGATGGCGGTGCAGTGTACAGAAAGTGCTGGACTTGGGTTCTAAGGGCAAGTCTTGTTCCTTGGCCTCTGTTGTTTTCATGTGAACTGTTGCTTGGAAGTTCTATTTTCCTTCGTAAGACCCTATGGCCTAAAGCTAAGTGGTTGTCCCATGACTCCATTTCTTTGGACCACCTCAGGGGCCTCAGACGTGGAAGTAGACACATGCCCTGAATTCCGTCCACTCGACTGTGGGCCCTGGCAGGGGTTCCCTTACCTAAAACATGAACCACAGTGGATGCCTTTTGTACTTCATTTTTCCAGAGGGATGCTTTCTAAAAACTCACTTAAAGGAATTGTACTAGGAGATCTGTCATTAAAATGAGATGACACATATAAAGGGCTTGTCACCTGTTAGAAATGCAGGACATGCGATTCCCTTTCTTGTTCCCTGATTTTAAAGATTTTCTTTCTTGTGTTTGGGAGAGGGAGATCTTCACCCCGTGTGTTGTCTACTACATCTCTTAATGATCGGTTTGCAGAGCGCATTGTCTTGTTTTGTGTTCTGTTCCAGCTCATGCTACTAAACCACCTCCAAAATCTCATGATTTCAATCATATAATACCAGAATTCTTTTAACAGGGCTACACAGCGTATGACTGATCTAATTCACTGAAACGCAGGGCCCTCTCCCCTCCCATTGCAAGTAGTTTGATTTAGGAGGGGGCAGTATGAAATGAAAGGGAAAATTAAGATAATATACAGCTTCTGCCTGCCCCATGCTGTATTGAGTACCTACTGTTTACCCAGAACAGCATCTGACTCATATGTATAACAGTCAGCAAGTATTTGTGGAAGAGTGAAGGGGAGATGGTGAGTGGGGAGGGCCTTCCTGCACGTTACTGCCTCTGTCCTCCCATGGAAGGTAAGGCTGCGCAGGCCCAGGGTGTCATTCACATCACTGCTGTGCCCCCAGCACCCGTTAAGTATCCGGCAGAGCACAGAAGGCGCTTCGGTACCTGCAGAGAGAATTACACAAATCTGGTTGTGCACACTGAATTATGTAACTGTCCTAAGCATGTTTAGTCACATGGGTGTCATTTAAAAAGCACACATTGCTGTCTACTTTGTACACATATGTATATACTCAATATACCAACATTACACCTGAAGTATAACCCATAGTAACGTACCACAGAAGGAAGGCCGCTGGGCCTGGAGCTTAGGAGCTTGAGCTCTGCCACAGAGTGGCCTGGCTTGAGCTCCCGTCCCAGCTGTGTCATTTGCCAGCAGTGTGACCCCGCGAAGCCACTGCAGGTCTCCATGTCTTGGCTTCCCCTTGGTAAAGTGGGAATGATGACTACCTATCAAAGGGTTGTTAAAGGGATTAGGGGAGTTAATGTGAAATGTTCAGTGCACATAGACAATAAGCCTTCTAGATGTGCTTGTGAAATACTCTGAGCAAATGTGTGGGTTTTCTCGCTAACTCATTCATCACAGGCAGTGAAGAGTGGACAAGACCCTAAGGGTTCCCATGGCCCCCATGAGGATGGCCCCTTGTTTGCTCCCAGATGAGCTGGAATGTTGTAGGGAAAAAGCAAGAAGTGACAGAGATAGGATTTTATTTCTGCAGAGCATGATCTTCTGCTGATCTTCCTGCTCTCTTGTTCCAGAGCTAATTCTTTTTCTTTAAAACTGCATGAGGTTTGGTAGGCGAATCTCTGAAATTCCGCACATTAAACCAGCAGCCTTCATTCAGTGTGCTCGCAGGAAGGAGCTCCAGGGGGCAGCCATATGGAGGGGGCGCTGGGCCAGGCCCCTGGAGGAGGAACCAATGGAGTGTGTAAATGCAGAGTGATACCTGCGTCATCTGGATCATGCCCCCAGCAGGGGGGTCCTCCTGAAGGGTGGTAAGCCCAACAATTTATTGGAAATCAGTGCTTCCCAGGCAGGTGCAGCCTGGGTCGTTCACTTGGTTACTTCGGTCAGCATGTTGCACACACACCTGGCCCTGCCTGTTGGTGCCCTCTTCTGGAAGCTGCTGAAGGTATTGCGAGGTGGGGGTGTGGGGGACCCGCAGCGGAGGCAGGGGGTGCACCGCAGAGCAGTTGTGCAGTTCCGCACCCTTCAAAGTGCAGCAAAGCCCGGCGCAAGGGGGAAACAGGTGTTTGCAAGAGTTTGAAGACAAGGCAGAAAACACCAATAGAGATGATGAAATTGGATGGTATCTAGCCACAGTATGTAACCAGTTTCCAACCAAAGTATTCATAAACCCTCTTGTTCTTCAGAAGATGAAAGAGTTAGAAAAGGCAGAGGGGAGAGAGGTGAGGAGAGCAGAAGGCCCAGTGCTCTCTGGCTGGATGACGTTACTCAGGTCCTCCGCATGAGCAGGAGGTATTCTATCAAGCTACCTTCGTGTTTACAGGTAAACCTTTGAGAGGTCCTGAAGTTAGTTTAGGGATAGTTCCTAGCTTAGGCTAATTTTTGCTTGTTTATTCCTAATGGTGGTTATTCTCAAGTGAATTACATTAAAAAAGAATAAGTTCTATGTTGAGAGCTTTAACAGCGATTGATTTTCAAAAGCACTCACCTTAACTTAGGATCCACCTGCAAGGGGGGAGATGGCTCTCTGTGACTGGGTGGCTTTAGGTGCATCTGGACCCCTGTGCCCAGCTGGAAACAGAGATTTGCAGGGTTGATGTAAGTACCAGCTCTTGATATGACAATTTAACATACTAGAATTGTAGTCCTTGTCCACATAGGAATTATCTAGTTTGTGGTGTGTCCGTTGCCAGCTATGTTGGTCAAAGTTCACACATCCCTCACCGGCAATCCTGGACCACCTTCTGTCACCCTACCTCCTCACAACTTCTTTTGCTGCCCAATGAATAGATACCAATTCAACCAGGCAAAAATGTGGACAAAAGGGAAATTTTTGCATGAAAATTATTCATTGCATTCTAAAGTGTGTGGGGCATCCATTAATATGAACAATTAGAAGATGGCTTAAGACGTGATTGAAAGTAGTTCAGTGCCTTGTACTTTTTTTAATTGAAGTTGAGCATTTTTTTCCCTTAGGGGTGGAAATGGGCAGAATATGGCACTTCACACCATTATTTTGTGGTCATAACTTTTCCTCAATAATACAACAATAGTGACAGGAAATATCATTTTCAAGTATCAGATAATCACATATTAAAGAAAGAAACAAAAAAATTTAGATAATTATGATGTAATAATAAAGCATATATTGAGTTTTCAGATGGCTGTTTGAGAATACTGCTGTTGAGATGACTTTTTAAATATGATAGATTGTATCACTGAATGGGACTCTCTGGAGGGATACGCTAAAGAATAATGTCATAAGAACTACAAAAAGCAGCCAGTCATTCATTTTCTAATGAGATAGGAATTGTATGTGACTGTTAGCTGTCCATCTCTCTGTCTTCGCTTTGTAGGGATTCCAGAGAAAAAAGCCAAAAGGAGCTAGCCAGGCAATTTTTGGTTTTTAAAAATTTGACATTATTTTTAATAGATTTTCTTTGGAAGGATGGACTTGATCTCATTGTGTTATAGTAAATATTCTGCTCAAGGGTAATAAGCTTTCTTGCTCATAATTGCACTGCATTAGGCAGTAGGACCATCCTTACTAAGTCCAGGGGGAGGCTGGTGGGCTTTGGCAGGGAGACAGTCCCTTCCACATGCATTGAGGGAGGGAGTTTTTTTGTGAGTTTATGATTTATTTACTTAGACCGTTAATACCTTCCTTTAAATAGCATGTTAAAAAATTAGGTAATTTGAATTTGGAGAAGGAGGCAGGATGTGGTATCTCGGCCTGGATAGCAGGTCTTCATCTGTGTAGAGATGGGGCTGTGTGGTCTAAATTCAGACCACCGCTTCCCACAGAGTGTGAGTGTATCCGCCACAGTCATTGAAGGACACAGCTGCCTGCCGATGGCCCACCTACTGATTCACAAGGAAGTGGAATGTGATTGTCCCCTTGCTTTGTTTCCTTGTCACGTAGAGAGTAATATGGTGTCATTAGAGATTTTAATGCTGTATCAAGGCAGTGAAGAAGCATAACTACAAGCTGTTTCTCATGAAAGATGTAAACTTAGAATATCTAATGACATTTTAAGAGCATTCCAGGCAAGCAAGGTAGTCCATCTGCCAGTGTTTGAGTCTTCCTTTCCTGTCCACTGGAATTGAGATTCACTAGTCCCACAGTGAAGCTCTGTGCATACAGTGAACATATAAACGTTTTTGTATCATCTTCTATCTATTTACCAAGTTGGACATCTAGTGATAGTTGCTTTGCAAATAATTCATCCCAAATTTTTATAATGTGATGTATGAAAGCTGACTTGGTTATATTGCAGATGTTACTTACATTCTCATTTGAGAGCTGGCCCAGAAACGCTGCAGCTCAGTGTAGAAAAACAAAACAAAATAAAACAAAAAAAAACCTAGAAAGCAAACAGGTGAAAACCTGCCCCATCTGGATCATGTCCCAGGGGATTATGAGCCTCTAAGAAGGGTGAACGGGCCAATTATGTCTTGGGAATCTGCTTCCGCAACGAATGCCGTCCTTGTCCCTTCCCTGGTGAGGCTGATCACTGCCCTGCCCATTGGTGCCCTCTCCTGAAAGACTGAGTGCAGGCTTTAGGAAAACAAATGAGGTTTAAGACGCAGTCCTGAGGAGGCAGGACCCCTAGATGACACTTATTAAAATTCTCACTGAATTAAAATTCTTCACTGAATTTTGGCCTCTGTGCTGAACAAAGAAACAGCTATTAGGAGTTTTGATAATTAGGTTTTGTTTATAGTTCTCTTATAAAAGCCCTGAAATCATTTAGAAGATGCAGGGCCAGCTAGAGAAATGTATTCTAATAATGTGAAAAATTGGAGGCGGTTTTCCTTAGAAAACTAAGTATTACTTTCTGCTAAGAGCTAACGTTTGTATGCAATACAAACACAGCTTACGCAGTAAAGTACCGTCATATGTGATTATTCTATGATCGTCTGAATAACCTAGTAGTCATCTTGGTGATGTGGGGGTAGCAGGACAGATGAACATGCACCTGGTGTTGGTAGCCGGCGTTTCTCCTTTACTACGTGGCTGGAACTGCACTGAGTGTAGACACGGACCATCGCCCTTAATCTTTGCAGCACCCTGGGAAGTTGGAGCTGTGCCCCCATTCTATGTGTGAGGAGACCCACTGCGCCCATAGCTGGGACTGGTCTGACCAGGGGGTTGAAGCTCCCATCCAACTGGAGCCTTTAAAAGCGGTCTGCTTGCTTTTAGCACCTTCCACATTAGGAATTGTTACCTCTGGCAGTCTGAGCATTTGTGTGTAGAATCTCATCAGTAAGTGCAGGGAGACCTCCCAGTCCTTTTGCTGAAATGGGATTGTGTTCAGATGAACGCACTGTTACACTCCCTCCTGTGTTGGCACATCTCAAAGTCCCTTGGTCATATGGCGTGCCGCAGCCCCCTCCCAGGGGCCCCTCCCTGAGGCTGGGGCTGACTGCGGTAGCGCCCACACTGACACCACAGGTAACACACGGCTGCCGTGGCTTCCAGACAGCTCACCTGCACCGCTCATGGGCACCTCTCTCTCACCTCTTTGAAGCAAACTCACCATCTCTTCTCCGTCTGTCTCCTCATTCTCTCTGTGTGGGCACACATACACACACAGGCACACATGCACGCACCCTCCGTCACACACCCAGCAGCTCCTCCCCCTTGCGTTCATTTCCTTGGTTGGTGGTGGCACTCTGCCCAGCCTCTGAGTTGGAGTCAGCCTCCTCCTACCCCTGTGAGCTCTGCATGCGTTCGTCTTGCTTTCTGAGTATCTTTCCTGCACATTCACATGACCGTCTTTCACTTCAGATGCTTGCCTCTGACCAGACTGTTCCGATGACCTCCTGGCTGGCTTCCCTGCCTCGGTTCAGTCTCCCCACAGCTCTTCCTCCAAGCTGTAAGCGGAAGTGATGTTACCACAGCCCCAGCCTGATCTTCAGCATTTCCCTAGCCAGTCGTGCTTCCCCAGGGGCTGCCGTGGTGGCTCAAAGCCTGACGTCCTATCAGGGTCGTTTTGGACCTTAGAAAGGTGCTGAGGCCCACCTCAGGCCAACAGGAACTCTTGAGAAGCCCCTCGTGCGTGTCTTTTCTGAAAGCCTCATGCACCTTTATAGTCACACATGTACTTGGATATCTAATAAATGTCTCAAAGTGACATGTCTGAAATGGAACTTCTTTCTCTCAAAACCTGTGCCAACTTCAGTCTTCCCCATCTGAACCAATGGCAACTCCACCTTTCAGATCACTCCAACCACTGTGACCACTTCATATAAAAATACACACAACCCCCACCCCAGCCAGGTTTCCTGATCTTTTTTCCATGGCAATCATCACCTTCTAATGTACTTTATACTTTACTGGTTTATCATGTTTGTTGTTTATTTTTACTTCCCCTGGGGAGGAAGTGTTTTCTTGTTTTGCTTTGTTTACTGAAGTATTCCAAGCATCTTAAGACATTGCCTGGCATATGGCAGGGGATTTGTTAATGTTTGTTGAATCAGCGAAACATACTAGAAAGTTACTAGCAGTAGAGAGGAATTGTCCAGAGGGTATAAAGGATTTGGGTCTGGAGGCCTGCAGTCTGTGTTCAGCTCTGTGCCTCAACTTCTGTCTGTAAAATGGGTATATTAGTATGAAATCCATAAGATCAATGACTAAGATCTGGTAGTCCCTCAGAAGCACTTTGCTGGCAGCTGGCACAGGTTGAGTTCTTACCCACTGTTAGATGCCTGGAATGGCTGTGGGCTGGAGCTGTTCTGAATAATTCCTTACTTACATTTCCTGAAATTGAGATTATGTACTGTCTCTGCAGTGCCTGAGAAATAAATGCCACAGGTAGTGACGGCCAACATGATTTCCTCTTTCTCAGAGGTGGTTTTTGCTTTAGGGTTTTAAGTATGTCCGGCTTATGCTGTGCTCAGAACCCTCTTTGACTGACTTCATCCCGGCTGTGGAAGCCGGACATGGGTGCCACCGTTCCCGAGCCTGCTGATTCCCTGTGTCCATCTGTTCCCTGAGGAGGGGCAGCAGGGCCATAATGCTTTGGTCCTTTTATTCCGCTTGCAGCTGGAGTTCATTTCTCCGCGCTCTTCAGGGTTCTTCTGACTTGCCCTCACCTGGCTTATGCGCACAGTCGAACTAGGTGGCTGTTTGGTGGTGTTTCCTATGCACAGGGCCCAGGGTGTACCTTATAAATGCAGGGGGCAAGCTTTGCCCACTGCACCTAGTTTAATTTTTATTCTAGTCTCACCGCAACAACTAAATAAAAACTTAAAGAATTTTTAAATTCTAAGTTCAAAGTAAATTTGAAGACAATGTATCTGCTACTCTTTGCTATGTCAGGCTTTCTAGAACTCTCCACAGTTACTTATAATGGGTTAGAAAGGTAGTGCCACATGCTGTTGACAGCACAAAAGGCAGTGGAGGAAGGGGACACAGCTGGCTGCTCAGCCCTCCAGCGCTTTAAGTGATGGCTGTTGGCTAACCTCAGCCACCCTCATGATGCTAATACGAAGTGAAACTCAGGGCAGTGGGGGTGAGAGATACAGGCCTTTTCAAGGTGGAGGTCTGAGAATGCAGCAGAGGGCAGTTGAAGCATGATTCTTGCAAAAGTTATGTCACTTGGGCTCTTGTAGGGTCAGTAAGAGTTTGGAGAATTTTGGGGTGGGGGTGACAAGAGTAGCGACAGGAACACCACCTAAAGGGCACAAGCACACCGCTGGTATTTCTGTGTGGCCCAAGCAGGAGGGAAGTGGTAGCTGATAAACCTAAAAGAGCAGCTGGGGTCAGCTGTGAAGGGCCTTATATGACATGCCACAGAGTATGGATTTTTTATCTTGGGTAGGACTTTTTGCAAAGGAGGCATATTACCTCATCTGTGGTGATAGCATGCAGGCTGGGAAAGAAGGGTGGAAATACAGAGGAATGATCAGTAGAACATGGGCAACTGAAAGAGCGTCTTAGTGAAACTATAGAAAAGCAGAAGGAATAAAAATTCAATCATAGAAGCAAGTCAGAACGAGCCCAGAAGAAATCTGATTGTGAAGCACACTGCCACCGAGGGACACCATTATTGGAATTCTTCAAATACGGTCAAGAACAAACATTTTAGGAAATAAGGTTACCTTATAAAATGTAGGATGCCCAGTTAGATTTGAACTTCAGATTAATGGAAATTTTTTCAGAAAAAATGTGAATACTTTTTTTAGTATAAGTATGCTCCATGCAATATTTGAGACATACTAAAAGCTATATTTTGTTTACCTGAAATTCAGACTTAATTGTGTGTCCTATTTTTTTTTTTTTTGGAAAATCTGCTAATCCTAGTATGAGAAAAAGGTTATGGGAAGGCCTAGAAATCAGACTCAAATGATTTGATCCTTCTTTTGATGGTAGTGTTATACCTGATATGGGCTATATCAGGTGCAGCCCCAGTGAAGCACTTTATAGAACACAGTAAGTGACTGGTAGGGATTTCACCTTAAGACATTGTAAAGTTATATGATCAAAAAGAAAGGGGGAAACTAAGAAAAGAAGGGAAAATTCAGACTACTGAAAGAGGCTAATACTCAACAGACTACAAGGACAATGTCTGTGTGTTCCAGGAGACAAAACGGGGTGTCAGTCCCCGCTGAGAGATCACCCAGCACGCTTCATCAAGTGTGAACATGCCGGGGGCTGCCATTGTTGTTTATGCTCATGATACACAGTGGTCCCTGTGTTCTGGCTCCTGTTTTTATTAGGACTATAAAAACATTACAAAAACCCCAACAATAAACATCCTGCCAAGGAATGTGAGGTCATAGTGACATGATGTCACAGGGACCGAGCCCCTGGGAGCCCCAGTAGACCAGCAGACACTGGAGTTGTGGGAGAAGGATCCGGGCCTGGGCTGGTGCGGAGGCACGGCCCAGGTGCACCCTGGGCTCTGTGATGAGTTCTTCCTGGTGTCTGTCTTTTTGCTGGTGAGTTTGTGTTACCGTCAGATTGCCAGGCTTTCTGTTGTAGAGCAGCGAGCTCTGTTCCTGCTCAGGTAACCTTCCAATAGCAAAATAGGACAGAAGGAATCCACCTAGGTATGGAGGTATTCACTTTATTCCTTATTTTCTTTTTTACTGAAGGTTTTTTTTCAAGAAGATCCAGAGAAATCTGATTTGTACAGATTTTTAAATTACCTCCTTCTGGTGTATGTGAGGAAAGTGAGGTAAAATAGGCTCGTCTGGGCCAGCTAGTAGAAGGAGGAGGCCAACATGAGGAATGAAACACGTAACAAATGGAAATAATTTTGACCACTGCATTTTAAAAATCTATGTTTTTTAGGATAAGTCTCTTGTATTTGAACAAAATCTTTGCAGCACTGTATATGCGGTATAATTACCTCTTTTGCATGGAGTGATTAAACATATGCCATGAATTTGCCACGACAAGTGAACTGTAAGCAGTAGTTTAGTTGAGAAAAAAAAACCTTTCTTTGACATTAGTTTCCCTACATGACAGCCGGTATATAGAGTGAAAGAATGCATGGCAACACAACCTCAGGGGTTTTGTTTTAAAGAACTTAAAGAATTACTTGATCGTAGCTAAAATAGTTCTTGGAGTAAATATTTTACATTTTCACGCTTTATGTAGGAAAATACAAAGTGTGAATTGCCTTTTAAGAGAAATTTCTATTATGAGTTTACTTATTCAAAGTCTGTTGTATATTGTAATTAAATATTGAGTTTTCTGTTAGGATAAATTTCACAAACTGGTTGGCAATGTGACCTCTATAAAGGGAAGGTTTAATATGAAAAAAATATTTAAATGTATTTGCATGAAGATTTCGTCCTAACGGAGCAGTTTATTTTAACTGGTGGCTATTTCTGTTGGAAAATTGTTTAAGGGGGCTGACTGCTCAAGGAGGGGCACCAGGTATCCTGGTTGGCTTAGGCCAATTCTAGTTTATGTCTGTTGTCCTGGTATTGGCTTTGGCTTAGTATTTGACTTTGACTTATAAAAAAATTACTATCAATAGTTGCAGTAAAATAAGTCATCCCGGGCTTGATAGCCCCCCCACTCTGTACTTCCAGCTTCTCTACAGTCTCATCTGGAATGTGAGAGGTGCACTGAAGAGAATTTTCACATAGTTGAGTCTGAGACATGTGGATGATCTTTCTTTTCCCTGCTCTTCCAAAGTCAGCCTGTGGAGCACTTGCTGAGCAAGTGAGCCTGGAACAGTTGCCAGGGATAGTTCATTCCTCCGGGTGGAGTCCGGCAGGTGGGGAAGTCAGGGACTCCGTGGCCCTGGGAGCTGCTCGGCCTGCCCGCTGGTGGGGCAGGAGCTGGAGCTGCGTTTGGGTGACAGTGAGGCTGCTAGGCTACCACTTAGTTGGGTGAATAGGGAACAGGACATTTTACGTAGAGTAAGTGATAAAAGAGAAAGTGAATAGTTCTGCTTAAAAATGTAGTCATTTTTGTTGTAATTATTTTTCCCTTTATTACATGGTAGAAGTTTAAAACTGATTTTTTTGGTGTTTTTATTTAAATTTCATAACAGTGTAGTTACATATTTAATGGTTTTATCATCCCTGTTCCCTCTTCAGTGCCCTGGTTTAGTCCGTGGTCTAACTGCTTGTAACCTGCTTGTGACCCCGTGGTCACTCTGCTTGTAACCCCGACTGAGTTAAGGAATTATGGACTAGAGCAAGTGCGTGCAGTTAGGCCCATGGGGCTCGTTCAGACTCACCTGGAATGGCTTTTATGTTTCTACAGGTGTAAAAAAACAAATAAATATGTGTGACAGTGACCTTATGTGGCCTTACCTGCTCACAGTCTGTAAGCACTTGCAGTCTGGCCTGTTACACAGCTGTTCTGGCTGGTGTGGAGTCAGTGGTATAGCAGTTGTGTTAGAAGGATGCTGAGGTGCAGGAGTTTATGACGAATACAGCTTATCATGAACACAGCTTTGTTTTGTTCCCAAATTGAGAGATTTGGAAATTTCTGTGTTCACGCTGGTTTCGGTGTTCAGGTGTGTCATGGGGCATCCTGTCCCCAGCACCGGGCTGTAGTTTGGGGCCCATTTCTAGGTCGGAGGCTCTCACAGTGGCTTCCCAAGACTCTTTCAGAAAGTTGGTGAGGTCAGAAACTTTGAAATGACAACAGAGTTGTTTTCCTTTTTCTCCAAGCTGATATTGCGCCAATGGTACAAAAGCCATAGCACAAATCAAGGTAGAGAGGCACAGACTGTTCTAGATGTTACTATATTCTTCACTGCCATGTGCTCAAAATAGAAACAAATACTGTTTTCACCTCAGAATAAATTAATACATTGCAACCCTGAGTACATGACTTTTTAATTTCACATGAGATGAAGTGGAAAATGTGCATGAAGTGCTCTGCTGCTGGTTGTGTCCAAGAAATGAACTTGTATGTTATTTTTGAGTCATAAGCTGCAAAACTAGCCACTTGTTCACAGGCTGCCGTTTTTCTTCAAAGTACAGGTGGCTGACTACAATTACTGGCAAACATTTTCTCGAAAATTATTAGAATGGGCCTGTTTGTACTTTAAGAAAACAGTTACCAATGATAAAATTTGAGTTTTCAATCAAAAGTTAGAATTTTGGAAAACTTATCTGCCACCAAAAGTTTGACAGCTTCCCAATACTTAGAGACTTTTAATGAAGCTAACAGTGATGACATTAATGAATATGATTTTTTTAAATATTGTATAATGAAATTTATCAGATGACCAATGCGTGTTGCAGAATCATGTCAGGGTAAAAGATCCATCAAAAGAGGAAAGAGTAAGACAGATTTTAATATACAAGTACAAAGAGTTCATTGATACAATTTTAGATTCTGTATTGCAGCTGACCTTTAAGAAACTGCCACTTGTCTTATTTTGGTGTCATATCAACAAAGGATACCTGCAATTACCTGAAAAGGATATGAAAGTACTCATTTTTCTAACTAAATATCTGTATGAGACCAGCATAGTCCAACCAAAATATATAGTTACAGATTGAATATAGAAGTGGCTGTGGGAATCCAGCTGTCTTCTATAGAAAAAGCTGAGCATTAATGAAATTTGTAAAAAATGTAAATTGTTGTCTGTCTCACTAAATTTTGTTACTGGTTTTGCAAAATAGTTTTTTTAATAAAAATGCTTACTTAGTGTGAAATGAATTATTTTTAAGTGAATTAATATTTGAAAAATGTGTTCTAATTCCTAATGGAGTGAATATATCAGTAGATATGACCCACATAAACAGAGGTCTTCAGAATTCTCCACACTTGTAAACATGTAAAGGTCCTGAGACCGAAAGGTTTAAGAACTACTAATCAAGAATTTGAAGCAATTACTTTTTTAGTGAGTTGAAATACAGGAACTGAAAATGTTTTTGTTAATAGTGAAGCATGAAACAATCTCATTTTAAATAGCTTTTGCATGTAGTTAGTTCTATAATATCATAATAAACTTCATCAGCTGTTTTACCTTTTGCTGCACAAGAAAAATCTTTTCTGTCCTTTTTTGCCCCTTCATCAATTCTCACAGCAATGCTGCAGTGAAGACAAGCCTGCTGGAGGCCCGTTCTGAAATGGGGAGCACTGAGGTTCTGGGGAAGGAGCCCCCAGAAGGCCTCAGTAATGGTGCCGGCAGCAACGCGGAAGCAGCCAAGAGGTTGGCCAAGCGCCTGTACCAACTGGACAGATTCAAAAGATCGGATGTGGCCAAGCACCTGGGCAAGAAGTACGTACTTGCGCCTATCCTCGTGGACGTGTGTGTTTTCACTGCTGCCGTGTGAATAACCAAGTCTGCTCTGTTTTCTTATAGCAATGAATTTAGCAAACTCGTTGCAGAGGAATATCTGAAGTTTTTTGATTTTACAGGCATGACTCTGGATCAGTCTCTCAGGTACGGCGAAGCACCTCCTCTGCTTTCTTTGCCTCCAAGTAATTAATTCTAAGAAAGGAATGTACTGCAGCTATAAACTAGTTTTTTTAGACCCACAGTTACTTTGTGATCTTAGCCCAGACCTTTATTAGATATTAAACATAGCAGAAAGTGAGAAATATGTGGTTTTTATGAAATCATGCATGAACTCATTCTGCATCTAGAAGCGAGCACAGTAAAAAATGGTGGCAGAGTAAACTGAGGAAAAATGGAATCTGTAAATTTGGTTTTTAGATCATTAGTCGTTTTTAAAGAGCAGTTAACACTGTAGAATCATAGATTTTCTTTCTAAGCATTTGTAGGAAGAAGTATGGCCTTTTAAGTTGTTACTTTGGAGTTAACTCACCGAAGGAGTAAAGAGGGCCATCAACATAGTAATCAGCAGGAAGCACTGGTAGCCTGTCCCACAGTGGGCTCTGCCGGTCCGTTCAGTCACCCCTGTCGCCAGCCCGCTGACCCTGGCTTCCAGGCCGCCTCCTGCTGTCAGAGCCAGAGGAGCCCGGGTTCCCGAGTGTGACCCCCGGTTTTCCAGGCGAAGCAGCGGACGCTGGGAGGAGGAGCCGGGCCTCCAACTGGAGTGCTCAGCGGCGCCCCCTGCCGTGCCTCCGCAGGCTGGCGGGAGAAATGAAGTCGGAGGAGAGCTTTGTGCTTTGCTGTCTGATGTAGGTTCATTAAAAAAAGGAAAAATCAGTTTGGTGAATATAATTTAGATTAACGAACTGTTAGTAAGGAAACAACATCACCCTCGTCATAGGGAGTAAGGGTTATTGTGTTTCTGTCAAGAGTAAGTTTTTTAAGTGAGTTTTTATTGCCATCTCATGTTGAGGGAACTGGGTGTGCCTTGTTAAGGGGGGGTCATCTGGGTTTATCTGCAACAGACGCTCCTCAGCAACCCTGATTTAGATTGGTTTGGGGGTCTGGGCATATTTTCTATTGTTCAGAGTTTTATACACAAATTCTTTTATCCCTAATTTAAGGAATAAATTAGGGTTCTTATCTCCCAACTTCTTCCTCATATAACAAGTTAATTATATAATATGGTGAGAAGAGGCAAAATAAAATTAACAGAAATCTACTGTGCACAAACTTGTAGTTTGAACAAAAGTAACTATGATCCAGGTGGAGTTTTAAAACATAGCCTACATGGTTGTGCATTCAGTCTCAAGTGTTCTTTGGTTTTTATCCACCTGATCTTTGAAAATGGCAACTTGATGCTTAGTCGTGCAGGGAAATTACTTGCCTTCCCAAGGCTTTTCTTGAGTATTGACCTCCATGCCGTTGCTCTGTCGTCTTTTATGTTGACATTGTATAGGATTAAATGTCAATATAAAATTATATTGAATGACCATCTAGTAAGTGATTTGTAAAAAAATAACTGGTTTACTCTACTTTGTATAATTATTTTCTTACACTTATATGAATTAACCTCTAACTGTCAAAGACTGTGGTAACATTTTCTAAAATTTCAATCTTTTCTCCTTAATTCTTTTTTAGGTATTTCTTTAAAGCATTTTCTCTTGTGGGAGAAACTCAAGAACGAGAGAGAGTTTTAATACACTTCTCCAATAGATATTTTTACTGTAACCCAGATACCATTGCTTCACAAGGTAATCTGATGAAAATGCATGAATTTCTTTTTTGTAATAGGGTTATTTTCCTCACTGTGAGAGTTAAGTTTTATTGTGTAAAGTATGAAAAGTACCCAGAAGAAACTGAGGATTGTCTGATTACCTGGGGATAACTATTAAGTTAGATTTACCTTTTTCTAGTCTATTTATATAATATTTAATGTCAAATTGAATTCATTACATTTTATTTTCTAATGTCTTTTCCTTTCATTGTGAGAAGTTTCTCATACCATCAGATTTTCTTTAAAAAGCAGCTGTTTAATGGCTGCATAGTAATTTATCCTCCACTTTTAGTTATTTTTACTCTACACCACAGTTCCATAGTTAACCTCTATGGCAGTATATTAGCACATATGACAATAAATTACTCAGGTTTTATTGTTCAGAGATTTGATGTGCACATCACATTGTGATAAACAAAATGCTAGTTTTCTTATTTCTTCTTTGTATACATTTGGTCTCTAAACTTGATGAAGTGCATTTATACTTACTTAGTTTTGTGGTTAATTTTGGAAACATTTATAAATCTCACTGGAGATTGTGGTACAAATCTGATGCTTTTGTTTGATATTCGTTATGACCACACTAACACTGACCTTAGGCCGTGTTTTCAATGAACTGTAAGTTTATGTTTGTTGTGCTATTTTTAAAAAGCAACCTTAAACTAATTGTTGATGTACCCTATGAAGAGGGGTCTTTCTCTGTTTCATTTCTTGCAATAAAGCAAAATTTTCAGGGTGTGAACTTCAGCACATTCACTTGCAAGTGGAGAATCTTTCATAAACTTACAGATTCCAGAACAGGTCACTGAGACTAGATGCCCTAGAAATAGGAATTGTCTCTTGGTAAACAGCCAATTAGTGGGGGTTAGCATACTCCATACTGCCTAAAGTGATTGCTCCTCCCACCTCCACCCTGCAGGCGGTAGGTAAATTAACTAACCATCTGATTATTAAGGTGACATTCTTATCTGTAAAATGGAACTTGCTTTTCTCTTTTCATTTCTTTGGCTATATTGGGACCACTAATTGGCTGTCTCTCACTGTCAGTCCTGACTAGAGACTGAAAGGAGTAGAGGAGGGTAGGTATTTTTAGAATCTTCAAATCTAAGATGATGCTGACATTCCTGAGTGAAACAAGGATTTGCCACTGTCGGCTCTTGATAAGATTATATGAGTTTTTGCTACTGAGTTGTACAAATACTTTAGGAATAATTTAAATGTACTTAGAATTTGTGATAATAAACTGGGAGTGGAATAAATATGCTTTTAGGCATTTAGTAGCATCTACTTAGAGAAAGGTAATAACAAATTGCCTTCACTCAAAGGTATACTTTTGGAAAATCTGTCTTAATTCACGTTCAGTAATTGGATAGGCCTTTCTGTACATTTCACATAAACTAAGAAGCTTTTTCTGCATCTGCAACTGCTGTTGTCTATTTGGACTAAGAATTGCAGAGAGAGGATGAGGAACACTGATTCATAGCCTTGGGAATGAGAAACTTACATCTCAGTGCCTTTATTTTCCTGTGTGAAGTAGGAAGACAGGGTGGTGTTTTCACTAAATGTGAACTTATCCTTCTGATTTGAGCACCATTTTCCCCCTTAGTATTGAATTTTTCAATCTTCCCGGGTTATTCAGTATTTTACATTTGTCTGACGCATAGTATCCTGGATCAGTCAAGCTAAATGTTGCCTTTGAAGGAGGCAAGAAAGAAGGTGACTGTTCCTGCCTGTGTATTTTTGGCCAGAGAACCAGTAACCAAGCACTAACCATGGGAGACACAATCTTGGTTTTCCTTAACTTTAGCTGCTTTCTTAATTCACTTTCTTTTCAGAAAGTAAAAGAAGTAATTAATATTAAATATTAAATAATTTTAATTTTAATTATTAAATTTATTATAATTTCCTCATCTTGGGCTATAGTAAATTAAGAAAATATAAAAGAAAGAACTTGTAATCTAACTATCCAGAGATGTTATCGTCTCTTTCATGTATATATATTATGTATTTATTCTCCTAGATGTGTTTATAATTTATTATGAAATATCGTTGCTTTTCGTAATGTGTACCTGGACAATATTTGTCATGACTTCAACATAACAGAATTGCATTTTGGGGGGTTATGTTTACTTGTTCCCCCATGTAAGCCACGTTTCTTTGGATAGCCTAGTGTCCTGTGTACATCTTTATTTCCTTAGTGTAAAGCTCTTATTTGCTGTGTCAAAGGGCACTGATCAAATTGTCCTCCAGAGAGGTAAAAATAATTTATCACCAGTAGAGCCCAACTCTGTGCATTGAGGTCCTTTTAATAATTTATTCTTATCTATTTTCTGTCTCCCTGAATGAATATGAGTAATTATGCCTAGCCACAAGATCATGTTTTCATAGGTTCTCAATATATGCTATTTTCATGCTTATAAGGAGCCCAGCAGGAAATAGTGGATTAATCCTTTCTGTCCTTGTATCTTTCTTTAGATGGAGTCCATTGCCTCACCTGTGCAATGATGCTTCTTAACACAGATCTCCATGGCCATGTAAGTGTAGGTGTCCAAAGCTGCCTTGCAGAAATCCAAAATGTCTTGGGGCTCACCTTTGTTTTTGTGTCGATACATGTTTGTTCTCTTCCTCCCTTTCTCTCATTCACTACGTGGCAGGCAGGTAAACATGTATCTTGAAAAAAGATACATCTTAATTTGCTTGTTAGCACAGACCATCATTTTAAGTGGATCCCATATTGTCTGCATGTCAAGTTGTTCTAGCTGTGATGTGCGTGTCATGTATCTTCTCCACCAGATGGCAGAGACAGAGCTTTTACTTTTTGTTTTTGGGTTAGCGGTTAGGGTTGATACACAGTGATGGAAAGATATAAGTTAGATCTGAAAATGTTCACTGTGTTTTCACTAAATACGGTTAATAAGAACTCAGCCTTTTCTAAACTCCTCAGCTTACTTAGTCATCTACAATTTGAGATAGCAAAGTAATCTAAGTACTTTCTTATCTTCTATTTAAAATGTAGGATGAACTTCTTAGATTTTTAGTTATATACAAACTTTCACATTTCATAGACATGGAATTTTAGCATTACTTAAGCTGTTCATGTAAAAGAAAATGAGAATGTTTTAGTTAAATATAGGTCAGTATATACTTAGCACAAAAATTACTTCGTAATCCTACATCCACTTATTTTGAAGAGAAAATAAGGCTTCTTGTAACTAAGAGTCCAGATCATACTTTGATTTGCTGTATGATATACCTTACAATTAAAAATAATCGCATTAAAAGAACTAAAACTTAGATCAGTCCAAATTTGTTTCACTATTCCAAAAGGCCACATAATTCCCTTATTTAGAACTATGGTGTTCCTCTTAGAAAGGGCAAAATGGAGCCATATGGGGTCGTTAAGATGGACTGAGGGAATAAAGTTTTCTGCTGTGAGAAAAATGGGGAGATAGTGTAACAGACTCCTGACTTCAGCGCGCAGAGCTCACAGGGCTCACCCGGGAAGCTCCTTTTGCAGTTAGCATGAAGTGACTTTAGAATAACTTGGTGACTTGTAGACATGTAGCAGGTGTCTGGCAATTATATGTAGACTAAAAATGTAGGCAATGTAGGCACTTTCAGGCATCACTCTTAGGTAATTGGGTTGTAATATGTCTTGTGGAAATGAAGGTTTTGGGATTCTCACAGTGTGAGCCTGGAAGTGAGTGTCAGGCTCTAGTTGTACCCCTCTTGCTGTGGGGACTGCTCAGTGCTCTGCCCAGACTGCTTGCATGTTCCGGGAAGCAGGTTTCCCTGCCTGCCCCTCTGCCTGTCATGTGATACCCCTTGCAACTCTGTCCCTTCCTTTCCTCCCACTCAACTTCCCAGCCTGAGTTTCAGCTGAGGGAGATGGTTTTGATTACTCTTGTCCACATATAACATTGACCCAAGCCTGCAATCTCATGTGAGGACACTTTTTCACATCAAAGATTCTGAGGTCCCATCCGTGTATGATACTTGTGCATTTCATGTCTGTAGACTGAGAAAATGTGTAGCGACGGGAACAGAATGCAGTTAACAGTGCAGTTCTTACTTAACAGGCTGAGGATCTCTAGAGCTTCTCAGGGGGTTGCTACATTGGAGGGGGTTTGCTTCTGTTAAAAGCTGTATTGCTTTTTAAGAAGCTCATATTGCTTTAGTACTACTTTCAAATAAAGGTGTATCATTAATAGCAGCACTCAAAGCACAGCATTAAGTAAAGGTGTGAGGCTGATCATTTGCTGGATGGTTCAGCATTTGGCGTCCAGGACGCCCCGGATGCACCAGCGGTCCGCTGCTCCATCATCAGACCACTTTCGAGGAGTTACAAGGAGATTAAATGAAACACCACACTTCTTTTTGGCAACTAGAATATAAGAGGTAGTTCATGTAAGGAAACAGTGTAATATCATCTTGAGTCATGCCAACATACATAATTAACAATTGGCTTTAGAGGCAAAATTACACGAGAGGGAGAAAATTATAAAACAAATAAGTCTCTATTTTCAAGGTCATGTTTTTAGTGATTATTGCTTCTCAGCTTTGTTTTAAAAAATACATGCTATACATTTAGTATTATCTGTTGTTTAGGTTTTGTATATTAGAGTTTTTTTTATCCTGTTTACCATGCAAACTATTATAAGTCTGTTGAATATGCCGGAGCTAGCATAAGAACTAACGATATGAAAATATGTTTCTCTTATCTTCCTCCTTCTGGATTCATTTTAAAAATAAATTGTCCTTCTAGGTGGTAAGTTGTTATCCATGATTCTGGATGTAGCTTCTCGTGCATTGTGATTGCCTGATTTGTTGTTACAGTGTCTGTCTGACCTAATAGCATGGCCCCTGTGAAGGTGAATCGTAGGACTGAAGTGAGTTATCTCACCATCCCCCTCTTTTCACCTTCTCCTTAGGCTGTCTGCCTCGGCCGTCACCTCTCATTACTTAGTCCAGTGCCAGAGTAATGCTCTTGGGGGGGTGAGCGAATAGCCCGTTTTCCTTCTTGTCCCCACCATTGTTACAACAGCAGCACAGCAAGCATGACTTTCCAGGGCTGAGGCGGTGTAACTTGGGGTATTAGCTTCTCTTGGCTGTTCTTTGTGACTCTGCCTCTGTTTCCCCTAATGAATGCTGCACTGAAAACACACTGGTATGGGCCTCTGTCCTTCCTGCTAACCTTACTAACAAAATGACAGAATGGATGGATACTAATATAATACATCAAATACAGTGTTACATGTTGGAATGCCATTCCTTTTTCTAATTCTGTTACTCAGCAAACACTATAGTGTGCCTTCTCCACTCCAAGTGCCCTGCGGTTTGGGTAAGGATCAGAAATGTGTGATACATATTCATGGAAGGCAAATCTTATGTCTGGAAGTGTTGGCTAGGCTGACCTCCACTAGTCAGGTTTAACTGAAGAAACGGGAGCAGGTAACTGACATGCTTGGTAGAACAGAGCTAGGGTGACATTTAATTACACCTTGGAGTGTAGTTAGACTTTACCAAGTGGGCTAGGAAAAAAGGGTCTGAAGAGTATGCCATATTTTGGGAAATTCATCCAAGTGTTACAGTCCTGTCACTGGAGCTAAAAATGGTAATTCTCTTCAGTACCTGTTTTTAAAAATGAATGAATGATCATTATTTTAGCAATAGTATTGAGTTGCTTTTGTCTGCCAGTGGTTTATTCTCTTAGATTAAATATTTGATAATTGTGGTCACATGGTAATGTGATCAGAAATGTCCCCTATTTTTAAAATGCCTCTTTATAAAATAAATATGGAAATTAAGCTGTTGCCCATAAAAATTAATTTCTATGATAACAAACTCGAGTTTATTTTTTTCTTGCTGTGTTGGAAACTAAGTCATATTGGTTATTGTTTGAACTATCAACAAGGAGTTTAAAAATTTTTTTTAAGCCTTGAATTTTATTGGAAATGGTATGAATAAAAGGATTGTCATGTTGGAATAAGTCCAAATCTGTTCCTTTTGTGGACTGATCTTCAGATGTACCTGCAGACTGCATTTAGCCCTCCTGTACCTCCGTCACAGTCAGGATTCAGCTGTCTGGCAGGATCATCCTTGAGGCTAAGGACAGGCAGCAGGTGCAGGGCGGCGGGCAGGGCTTCTCACCAGGGCTGAGCCTGGAGCAGGAGGGAGTTTTGGATGTGGACCAGGCTGTAGGGGACAGTGGGTAGATGGGTGATGAGTTGGCCAGTTTCACAGCAGGAAGTTGAAGGAGATCCACAGGACAGTGGCTGCCCAGGGTCAGGCCGTGGTCAGAGGCAGTAGCCAGGACATTGTTTATAATCAAGACTTCATGACAAAATGTATCTTCTAACACTGTGGCTTGGGATTGTCAGTAGCAGTCATACCCACGGTGTGTCTCTGCGGCCCAGTCTTGCTGGGAGCCAGCCTTTCCATGGCAGTGGGCATAAGGGAGTGGGGTATGGCTCTTCTGAGGGGTGGCACTGCAGGCTGCAGGCTGGGCACCCGTAGGTACTGTCTCTGAGATCCTCCCTGCATGCCAGCCACTCCTTGGGGGCCTGAGTCCAGTGCATGAGGCGGCATCTCCCTGGGGGTCCTGGCGCTGTGTTGTAGGTTGGGTGGGGTTAACTAAGGCTAGTACACCATAGCAGTAGGGGGGAAGAAGGAAGGCAAGAATTCAGTAGATGTTTTGTGATAAAATAATATTACAAAGATGTGTGTAGTTAGATTTGAGGTAGGCCATAGGAATTCATTTTCCAATCTGTCAACAGCATTGATAATTGTGAGTTTCTGTTTCTTAGATTGGTTCTCTAGGATTTTAGGGTCTTAAACGGTGGATGGGTAAAATATTTGGTTTGTTATCAGAAATGGAAGATGACTGTTATGAGAATTTCTATTAAAGAATTTTAGTGCTTTTCCTTTTCATGTTGTGCTGTTTACACTCTCAAAAGCACCGCAAACCTCCATGCAGAGGAGTAGTTGACATTCTCCGGAAATCATTAGTGTCACTGGCAGCCCCTGACATGCATTTTGCCCAGTGAATCTCTGCAGTCGGCTTTTGTGCTTCCTTCTTCCTGCATGTGGTTTGGGGAGGGCAGAAGTGAGGACGAGGAGATGGCTGAAACCTTTGACCTCCAATCCCATTTCTTCATTGAATGCCTGTCCTTTTAGGACAATCAAGTTAAAAGTAGAGTTCAGAGTTCAGCTAGCCTTTGTAATCTGATAATGAGGTCAGTGTCTCTTCCATTATCTTCTCAAATTTCAGAGGAAATACTTCGTATACCGTAGCTATAGAATCTGCTACTGTAACACCTCTCACACTTCATAATCTCAGGATCCCTTATTACTCTTAATATTTTTGAGGACCCCAAAGACCTTTTGTTTATATCTATTAATATTTACCAATATTAGAAACTAAAATGTGTAAGATTTAAAAATATGTATTAAATTGTTTTAAGGTAGCATTAATAAACATGAATTCGTTAAATGAATAACATACTTTTAATGAACTAATTATACATAGAAAAAT